ATTAGTCATGATAACAGTTATTCACTATTGAATCTTATGAATCTTATCCCCATCTCCTTTCACCAGACCCATCTAGACAAGATGATAGCTATTCAGTAGGGACTCTTTCTTTACCCCCACACTCTTAAACTAAGCTCCCTCTTGAAATCTTGTAAGCCAGTCACTTTGTGCCTTTATTGCCCCCTCATTTTAGATAGCCACCTTTCCCTTTTAAATAAAAATGTAATGTCTAATATATGATGCATACTATGTTATGCATTTTTATAAGAAATAAAATAGTTTATTTCAGTTGGTTGCATTCACTGATTTTTACCATAAATAAATAAATACATTTAGTTATGCTATTATTCTCTTTGAAAATCGTGTTTCCTCTCTCTCCAAAGGTGCAGTCCCCACAGTTCCTGAACAACCAGCTAGTGGAATGGAAAATCAAAAAATGTTGCAAGACCCAAGACCTGATGCCCCTCCAGACTACAATTCCCATTTTGCTCCAGGTAGGCTAGATATGCCGAATCTTCTTCCTCTCCAGGAAAACCATACTAATGTTTATGGTTTCTTTTTGAATTCATGATCTCCATAAATAAGTATGGAGCACTTGTTGGATGTCAATAACTGTTTGGATGTCAGGTAGAATAGATTCCTATCATCAAAGAAGTTATGAGTTACTGAAGAAGAAAATTGTGCAAAGAATGAGGCTTTCCCTGTGCTCTCTTTTGTTCATATGAACTTTAGAAGCAAAAACGACCATCACTGATTTTGCCAGAGGAGTGAGAGAAGCCATAACCAAGGAAATCAAGTTTTGCCAGCATGATAATGGTATTTTCCAATTTATGAAAAGGGGGGTGGCTGGAAAAAGGATGGTGTGTTGCAGAAAGGGCAACTAGTTCCAAAATGCCAGGTCATGGTATGACTGGAGTAGATCATGAATGGGATTAATGGCAGGAGAGATGAAGAGAAATGGAGATGAAGGGTCTTGAATGATAAGAAGGTTGTGGTGTTGTTGCTCTTGTTAGGTTCTATTGAGTCAGTTTCAGCTCACAGTGACCCTAAGCACAACAGAACAAAACACTGCCTGGTCTTATGCCATCTTCACAATTGTTATATTCTAACCCATTATTGCTGGCACTGTGTCAGTCCATTTCACTGAGATCTTCCACATTTTCACCGACCCTCCTCTTTACCAAGCATGATGTCCTTCCCCAAAACTGGCTCCTCTTGAAAATATGTCCAGTGTATAAGAAGAAATCTTGCCAATTTTGCTTTTAAGGTATATTCTAGCAGTACTTTTTCAGAGACTGGCCTGTTTATTCTTCTGACAGTCTATGTATGGTACTTTGAATATTCTTCACCAACACCATAATTCAAACGCATTGGTTCTTCTGTGATTTTCCTTATACATTGTCCAACTTTCACATACATATGGAATAATTGAAAATAGCATAGCATGGCATGGCACAGACTTACCTTAATCCTCAAACTTATGTCTTTGCTCTTTAACACTCTTGTAGTAGATTTGCTTATTGCAGTGAGTTGTTTGATTTTTTTGACTGCTGCTTCCATGAGTGTTGATTGTGGATTCAAGCAAAATGAAGTTTTTGACAACTTCAGTCTTTCCTCCGTTTACCATGATGCTATTTCTTAGTCCCTTGGAAGGATTTCTGTTTTCTTTACATTTTGGTGCTAAAAACTGTAACTTTTTATATTCATCAGTAAGCTTTGTAAGTCCTCTTCACTTCTAACAAGCAAGGTTATGTCATCTGCATATTGTAAATTGTTCTTGAGTCTTCCTTTAATCTTTTTTTTTCCCACTAAATATTTATTGAGTTAAGTACTTTTCACATGGAAACCCTTTTTAAAAGTTATAGGAAATTTAAGGTTGAATTGAGCATGATCCATCATTCACTGAATAACTGAGTTTCATAGGGTTTAATCAGACTCAAATAACTATTTAATGTATCACATTTTCCCAGTAGAACTGGTGCTAAAATTCATAATGTTGTCAAAAGAAACACTGAAATTGACATATCTAGGAGAAATTTTACTTATATAGAAACATTTATTTTTATTCATTCAATATTCATCAATTGTTTAATACATGTCAGAAGTGCTGTGAACAAAATACACATAATAATATAATGCCTTAATGATGAAATGAGGCAGCATTAAGTAATATACATTGTGACTGTCATGGGGAAGAAGATTCTAGACAGAGAAACTATAAGAGCAAAGCCTAAGTGTTCTAGGAGAAACAAGGAGACCAGATGGATGGAATGGGGTACATGAAAAGACATGAGCTTAGAGGTATCAAAGGTTTGAGTCTTGTGGGATTTGTGGGATAAGATGTGGTCTCCAGATTTTTCTGTATTGGGTATAAAAAATTCAAAGATAATCAAGACATGCTTGTATCATTAAAGATATAATTTCATGTCAAAAGCCTTAATAATCATAGGCAAAGTTCCATAGGACTTAAGAAACTGGAACTAATAAATCTGTTAGCAGAAATCAGGTGGCATTTAAGTGAGGTCCTGAGTCAATATTAAGGGTCATAGGGTTTCTTTTTTTGCAATTGATGAAAATGTTATAAAATTAATTGTGGTGATGATTGCACAATTCTGCAAATAGATTTAAAACCATTGAGTGGATGAAGTATGTGTTCTATAAAGTATTAAGCATAAAAGAGACTATTGAAAAAAGATTGAGTCAGAGATCCAAGCAGAATGGGGAAAGATGTACATTCAGGCAGAGGGAGATTTTAGTTTGGATTTCTTTCATCTTGATGCCATATATTTCTTCATGTAATCCAACATCTTGGTTTATTTGCTCAGCACACAGATTGAATAAGTATGGTGAAAAGATAGAAGCCTGCTGCTCACTTTTCTTGAAATTAAACTATTCAGTATTCCCTTGTTCACTTTTAACAACTGCCTGTTTGTCTATGTACAGGTTCCTCATAAGCACAATCAAAGATTCAGAATACCCATTCTTTGCAATGCTATCCATAACTTATTATGATCCACACAGTCAAATACCTTTGCATAGTAACTAAAGCATGAGTAAACATCTTTCTGGTATTCTCTTCTTTTAGCCAATTATCAGTCTCATGTCAGCAATGATATTTGTTCCTGGTTCTCTTCTGAATCTGACTTGAATTTCTGGCAGTTCCCTGTCGATATATTGTTACAACCATTTTTTATTTATCTCAAGCAACAAGTTACTTATATGTGATATTAATGATATTGTGTGGTTTCCCCCATTCCATTGGATCCCCTCTTTTTGGAATGGCACAAACATGTATCTCTTCAATCGATTAGCCAGGTAGCTGCCTTCCAGAATTCTTAGCATGGAAGTGCTAGCGTTCTCAGTGCTCCATCAGTTTGTTTGAAACCTTTCAGTTTGTAGTCTGTTGATTCCTGGACCCTGAATTTTTCGCCAGTGCTTTCAGTGCAGCTTGGTCTCTTCCTTCAGTACCATTAGTTCTTTATTATATGGTAACTCTTGAAAGGTTAAGCATCAATTAATTACTTTTAGTACAGTGACTCTGTATTTTTTCCATCTTTATTTGATGCTTCTTGTATCATTAAATATTTTTATATTTAATTTTGCAACCTTTAATATTGCAACCTGAGGTTTAAATTATTTCTTCAGATTTTTTTTCAACTTGAATAATGCTGAACATGTTCTTCTTTTTTGACTTTCTATTACCAGGACTTTGCACATTTCATTATAATACTTTGTTTTGTCTTTTGATTTAACGTTTGAAAATTTCTGGTCAGCTCTTTCACTTCCTCATTTCTTATAGTTGCTTTAGCTTTTCTATGTACAGGAACAAGTTTCAGAGGATACCCGTCTAGTATCCATTTTCGTCTTTTCTTTCTTTCCTGTCTTTTTAGTGACCTTTGCTTTCTTTATGAATAATGTTCTTGATGTCATTCCACAACTCTTATGGTCTTCAGTCATTGGTATCTAATGCATCATATCTGTTTTAAAAATTGTCTTGGAATTCAGGTGGGGTATATTCAAGGAGCTCTGGTAGCATAGTGGTTACGAATCAGGCTGCGAACCTTAAGGTCAGCAATTCAAAACTACCAGCTGTTCCATGGGAAAAGGATGAGGCTTTTTGCTCCAGTAAAGATTTACAGCCTCGGAAACCCTGTACAGGGTCGCTATGAGTCGGAACCGACTCCATGGCACAAAACAACAACAACATATTCAAGTACATATTCCTGACTTGTCTTAATTTTCTTCATCTCCAACCTGAACTTGAATATGAGCAATTAGTGGTCTGTTCCACATTGGCCCATGACCTTGTTTTAGCTGATGATATGGCTCTTCACCAGTGTTTCTTCCCACATAAGTAGTCAACTAGATTGATTTCTGTGCATTCCCTCCAGTTAAGCCCACCTTTTATGTTGTTGAAAAAGATATTTGCAGTGAAGAAGTTGGTAGTCATGCAAAATTCCATCATGCAATCTCCAGCATCATTTCTATCTCTAAGGCCATATATCCTAACTACTGATTCTTCTGTTTGCTTCCAAATTTCAGATTCTTATCACTAGTAATTATCAATGCATCTCGATTACATGTTTGATCAATTTCAAAATGAAGTGGTAGAATTCTTCAATTTCATCATCACTGGTTTTAGTGGTTGAAGTTTACATTTGAATAATAGTGGTATTAACTGGTTTTCCTTGTAGGTGCATATTATCCTGTCCCAGGAAGCATTGCCTTTCAAGATTGATCTTCAAGAGTTCTTTATGATGATGAATGTGACACCATTCCTCTTTATTTTATCATTTTCAGCATAGTAAACCACATGATTGTCCAGTTCAGAATGACCAGTACCAGTCCATTTCAGATCACTATTGCTTGAGATATTAATCTTTTTATATCCTATTTAATTTTTGAAGACCTTCAATTTTCCTAGATTCATATTTTGTACATTCCAATTTCTGATGATTAATAGATGTTTTCAGTTGTTTCCTCTCATTTTGAGTTGTGACAAATCAGCAACTTACGGTCCTGAAAGCTTAACTCCAGCCAAGTCATTAAGGTCAATTATACTTTGAGGAGCAGCATTTCCCAGGTCCTATTGTGAGTGCCTTGCAACCTGAGGAGCTCATCTTCCAGCACTATTATCAGACAATGCTCTGCTTTATTTATAACATTATCAGTGGCTTCTCCATCTCCCTAGTCTGTGTTAGTCTGGAAGCTCTGCTGAAACTGTCCACCATGGGTGACCATGGTTGTTGTTAGGTGCCATCGAGTTGGTACCGACTCATAGCGACCCTGTGCACAACAGAATGAAACACTGCCCAACCCTGGGCCAAGCTCACAATTGTTGCCACACTTGAGCCCATT